GGGTGTGCATTAGCGTTTATGCGCTATTTCGCGCGTTGGACGTGAAATTGTTGCTTGGCAAGGAATAAGACGGTGAGTTAAACGTGCGTACGATGGCGCGCGTGAGTACTATAGGCGTGCTGTTTTAATGAAGCGCATTACTCTTGTTCGACAGGTACATGTATCTTCAAGTTTGATCTCATACTCATTCGGGATGTGGGGGTGGTGTGTTTTGTCGTGGATAAATGCGCGCTCAAGGTATGAAAATACGAAGCGAAGCTAAAAGTTTTTTTTTTTTTTACGCGTACAGATATGTGATGGATTTCTGTTTTTCAGTTGTGTGAGTTTGTAAGAATCGTGTGTGTCTTACTGGCTGTTTTTTTCCACTCAATTTTACTAATCTTTAAAAATGTTAAATTATTATATGTTCTTGCACTGCTCAACGTTAACTTGCTTTTGAAATTTTTTGCTTTCGCAGATAACCGGTACTTACACTGTTATTTTCTCTTGTGACTTTTTGGAAATATGACGTAACAAATTGATCCATACGTTCGATTGATTTTTATCGAATTTTTTACTTTCTATTTTTTTGTTGACTACATTGTACTTTTGTCATTCGTGAAAATTATATTGTTCCTTGACAAGCAGCTTTCCGTAAGAAACGAATGCTATGATATTTCGCAAGTCTGTTGAAGCAGTATTAAGGACATGAACTTTGAAATACTTTTTTTTTATACGTTTGAAGGAACAAAAGGGTCGAGCGTTGCGTGCTATTGAACATTGGACTGTGATAGAATAATTCATTCAACACGATTCACGAGAAATCCAAAGAAACTCATTGTAAATAAATTAAAAATGGATAATATATTATGTGTTTGAAAGTATAAATAACCCACTGATGACAGGAAAATAGCACGACGTGCATTTTTACTCAGATTTCAAGAGTGAATACATATACACATATATATTTTTATTTTTACTAAATATATCAAACCGACAAGAATAAATATCTATATTTATGTACGAGCGATGAGGAAAATAAAGAGGAAGAATCATAGTGGTTTACAAAAAGAATATAAAAATGTTAAAAAAAGAGGAGGGAGGCTGAAAATGATCGTGTCGGAGGCGAGCCTTTCTATCTACTACAAAAAAAAAATGTTTATCTGTTTGAGTGTAAATACGTGAGCAAACAAAAGTTACGAATAATATGTTTGTGTATAATAATGATATACCTATGCGCGTACAAAAATGAAAACTTGTTATATACGTCCGTGAGATGTGATTGCAAATACGCAACCATCATGTGCCAAGTATGAGATAAAACCACAATACGAAAATCAATTGGTTTATTATTTATTACGTGAATGAAATGATGATAATAGCAGGGAGGAGTGTTGGTTCGGAAAATTTCAGTTATATTTTTGGGATGATTTCGTGAAGAATTTAATCATAAAAAAAGTATTAGAAAAAGTAGGCCTACACCTTACACGGATATAGTTGATATTCTTACATAAATTTGAAAAACGAGACTAAAATTACATAGTTTAATTTAATTCGATGTTTCGTATGTAACCACCAGCTTTTCGAATTTTCTGGCCATCTCTACGTGCGAACAGTCACCTTATTTTTCAAATTAACATGTAGTACGAGTGTTTTCAAAATTATACAAGTGCTCAATTCAACGAACTATTACTGCCAAGCGTTTGTGTTTTGGGTATCAATCTTGAGCTATAAAAAAAAAAAACACTAATATTGTCCACGAGAATTCTTAAAATTTGGTGTTAAGGTGTGTTTTTTTTCTCCTGATTTCTTGGAGTAAATAGAGTTTGACTTAATTACCCGTCACTCTTCCCAACATAAAATTCATTGCTACATCGTGTGATCTTACATAAATGTCTTAACAGCAAAAAAAAACAAAAAAAAAAAAAAAGGATAATTTGTAAAAAAAGTCGCACATGTGAAGAATTATGAACCGAAAAGATGAGAGTGTACTTTATTTATTTGTTACCATGTATATTGTATACGGACTTGCTCGAAAGGTAAAAAAAAAAAGATATATTATAACATATATTTACCGTATGGAATTCCAGTAAATCATATCAAATGGAACCCAACAAAAATGTGAAACGTTTGAAGTAACATTAAATTAAATTAAATGCCAACTTACTGTGTACAAAAAAGGGGGCTCACGCGTATGAATTGTTTTCTGTAAATTCGTTTGAAAAATAAACGTTAATGTACATAATATAATACAGAGTCTCGTCAAGAGAAATATTGTATAGGCTTAGATTATACGAAAAACAATCATATATATATATACGAGAAAAAATATGTCTACACTCATGATGGTATACATATACATCAATCAAACAAGTATAACATGTACATGACATATTGTAATTTTATCAGAAAAACCGCCACCGTTATAACTGTACAACTACTCTAGTACCTAAACTTCATGTAATTTTTTTATTACTTTTTTGTATGAAAAAAAAATCCAAACGAATTAAAGTATAATATCTTTAACGTACCACTTCCATTAATAAGACAAAATTAGCATATTTTAAATTTTAATCAACAAATGAAAAGTACACTTAATAGGAAAATTATTGTGATGATAAATAGTTTTGTTCACCTTTGATCGATATAAACAAACGTACAAATGTACTTCGCGACGAGATAACATTTCTGTACTTGTAGGATCAGACATGGATATATTTTTTAATAATGCTATTATTTTTATGTGGGATAGAAGAAAATAAAAACCGATATTGTTAAAACCTCTGAATAAATCACTGGAAAATTATCTGAGCTGACTTTTACTTTTCACCAAATATAAGTCGTTAAAAATTTTTTACTAAAAACCAGAACACCTATATTTTTAACCCTTACCTATGCCGCCAGCTATTGTTAGTCAAACAATGTATGCGTGGAACGTACGATTTAAACGAAGAATATTTTATTTTCTTAACGTTTAAACAATTAAAACCTTTGTTAATAAAATCAAATTACTTGTGAAAGCGCTGTCACAAAATTTAATGGCCTTAAAACTTTTGATTGCAGTGGCATTGGAAAAAAAAAATGCATTTGATTTAAATCGTGAAATCCTACCTTATTGTTGTATATGTGAGTATCTGTCCATGTCCAGGGTCCAGGCCCATTTGTTAGCAAACAAAAGTTGGAACGGGTCTCGAACATGAACAGGTATTAGCAAGGTGCACTTAGTGTTTAGGTATATTTGGCCCACACTTTATATGTCTATAGTTCAGACACACTACTAGGGAGAAAGTGTCACTAACAAGAATTCGGCAACAAGCTGCTTCCGACCTGGTGTGAGAAGTAAGGATACCTCTTATAGTAGAAAGCCCACTTATCAACGAATTTTATAAAATAAAACAATACGATTGTGTAATGGTTAATTTTCTCCTCAACTTTAAACAATTTTATGCAGTAGATAAAAAAAATTCAGCAGTATCTACAAATTTATTAATATGATATTTACATTTGATACAAATTTTCATTTCAATGTATTTAATGTATAAAATACTACAAAAATTAACAAGTTTTTCAATAAAATTGATTGGGTTACTGGGGAAGCAATTTTTTTTTTATCTATTTAGTGTACAAATTTTACTTAAAAGACGCATTATATAAAGTTCTGTAAAGACCTTTTCAACTTTGTAAACGTGCCATAGTAAAATAGAGCATCATGAAAAGAAAGAACTTTTAAAACTTGGTAGCAAACTTTACAGTCAAGTTTGAAAACTATTTATATGAATAAAAATAAATCTGTCACTTTTATACTTAAAATTATAGATCGCTTAATGTATTATCGTCGTGAGTACAGTTATTTTCAGAGAGTTGTAAGCGCTCCTTAACTCCTCCGATTCATCTCAATAAATTATGCAAAATTTGATTAAACTCGTGTTTAATCACTCGCACATACGGCTATATTCCTCACTAGGACATGAAATTCAGGAATGAACTTGCATAAGCCATAGGCTTTACGTTAGGATGTGGCTTAAAAAAAAAAAAAATAACAAAACTTAGTGAAATTGTAAGAGTAAATTAGTACATATTAATAATTTTTATGTTCATACCACGGCGTCATATGAAGTAAACTTCGGTATCATATCCTTGCCATTCAGAGTAATAAAGGCACCTTGATTACCCATTGAATCACTGCAAGAAATTATTTTTTTTTAAACCTTGGGGTACCTTAGTAGGTCTGTGACACTACATTGTTACTCTCTTAATGATGAATTCACTGTAATAAAAATTTAAAGGGAAATCATCATGAAGACTCACCAATAATTTGGAGCTGAAAAAACTGTCACGCATTTTCCATCGTGTCCATACTCGAAACCCTCCTGCTTAACTTCGTGACTCCTGACAATGTAATAGAGGTTATTAAGCTCAAGGAACTTTTGTGTAACATCAGGTCCAAATTGAACTCCTACACCTCGTTTGCTGGGAGACCTGCCGTTTTGAGGTTGAGGATCTGACCACAATAATTCGCACATAATACCCTCATCAGGTGGTTGCCTATTTCTATCAATTTTCCTAATGTCATCTAATGTCACATCATCCTTAGAAAATAAGCCTCCATGCATGACCTAAAAGTAATATCATTAATAATTTCATTTCTTTTATTTACCACATCAAACACGATAAGGCAAAAATAGTTACAAGAACTTTCTTATTAAGACAATGAGCTAGTGGCAACCAATTATAAACTTCTGTAAATAATTTAGCCATTTGTGGCGTATACTTTGATTTAACTTCACCTTCAAATCCATACATATGGTTCATGGCGGCAGATTCATGGTTACCTAAACAAATATTTTAAAAAAATTTTATTTAAATCTGGATATAAAATTACCAAACTAGACTTACCTCTTGACATGAAGAAGTGATTAGGGTATAATAATTTAAATCCAAATAACGTAAAGATACATTCAACTGAAAAAGATCCTCTATCTACAAAATCTCCGTTGAATAACTAAATTATTTTTAAGGTAAACATTATGCTGACGAAAAAAAAAAAAATTCAGTCAATAAACCAAAGTATGAAATCGTTTAGTAGATGAAAACAACGTCAGAAGGATACATAAGGGTTTTTTTCTGATGGCATTCCATTTAACTGGAAAATGTTGAGTAAATCATAGTATTGACCATGAATATCTCCACAAATAGTAAACTTTGCGTCATCTGGCACTGTGATGTCAACTAAACTTGGAAGTGACATGAAATAAGCTTTGATGTCTAGGAGAATTTTATAAGCATACTTTCTGTGCAATTTCTTTTCTTGTCTGTACCACTCTATGAGATCAGTCATGAATTTTTCTGTTACCTTGTCGTCTTCTAACTTTGGTCCTGAGTATTCACCTTCAATTGCTATAAAAAAAAGGCGTTAACTATAAAAAAAAATCCACATTCAATCAAATATCGACAAAGACAAAGTAGACAAAATCTTACTCATAGCACTTAAATCGATGGAATCAGCAACGCTCTTCTTGTTTTCATCAACAGCAATAGCTTTCTCAAATGCCAACTTTTTAACAATCTTTTGACATTCTGTGAACTTCAACTTAGCATCCTTATCGTTTGGCCTGATCTTTGTAACCAATTGATAATTTTTGAGGGCATCCTTGTACTTGCCAAGAGACATGTAGGCATCAGCTCTCCTGTAGTAACCCTTAATGTAATTTTTATCAAGCTCGAGGGCTTTGTCGGCGTCCGATAACGCGTAGCCAAAACATTCTGTCCTAATGTAGGCAGCACTTCGATTCCCATAGAAAATAGCACAAGGTTGTAGTTCGATAGCTTTTGTGTATAACGAGATTGCCTCATCATAGTTACCATCTGTAATTACAACACGTTTTATTAAATAAACAGCCAAGATTAAATATTACACATCTAGTAACCTAAAATACAAATCTATCCAGCAAAGAACATGCATGTATGATATGACGAGTTGATTATTTAACTAAGCAGTGATGCCTATATCAGTGACAAAAGATTCATTTGATTGAACAAATAGAGAGAATCAAATTGAATAATTTTATCCAAAGAGAGCGCGATATAAAAAGTGGGGTTAATTCTCGTCCGTCATGGATGCACGTGATCCAAGTGACTCCTTGCAACGAGCGTCAGTTGCATAGGTAAGTATCTATTTAGACTGAGTCACAAATAAAAAATTGACCAACTCATCATTCACGTCATCAGAGTAAAAGCGGCGAAAATCATGTACGTACTCTTATAAAATTCGTTGGCCTTCTCTTTGAACCTTTGCGCCTCGGCTTTGGTCTCCTCGTCCGGGGAGATTACCGAAGCATCTTCATTGTTTTCGCCCATTGCTCACTCTCACTAATTTTTGTTCAAATTTTATCAACAGCAACAGTTAACAGCGACCAATATTACGTGTGGTACTTAAGTATGTGGGGCCAGAACCGCTTGGACGGCTTATGCGTGAGAGAGCTGCACTTGATCGTCGTGACAACGCTACGAGAGAACTGGGCATTTATGATACTACCTACCTTAGTAGTGTAAAGTTAGAAAATTACTTGAATGCAAAATCCGGAGAGCACGCGCGTTTGTAATTAGGGACATTAGGGTATAGACCTGAAGTGCAGTGCGGTTGTGGTCTAATGGAAGGAAAGAGAAACAAATGGGAAATAAATGGCAGAAGGGATTGGACTATTGCATATTGAAGATGCAAAAAGAAAAATACGAAACTACAAGGTTTTGTACCAATTAAAACTTAAGTTTTTGTTTAATGTGGAAAAAAAAGACATTTAAATGTGTTTCCCTCTGTTCTACTTATACAAATATCGCCTAGCATATTGGGAATTGGGATTCCAAAAGGTCACGTGACACTCGCGATATATATAGTCACTTGGGGGACAAATGACACAGAGGCCTTATGGGTGCAATTCTATTTTTATTTTTTTGACACGTTCAACGATTGTAATACTATAAAAGCCTTTTAACAACATATTTTTGAGGAGATGACAATACCTTAACTATTATTTTCCGACTCAATTAGTCTTTTGTAGCTTAAAACTTTCCTTTCAAAGTGCGAAAACGCACATTTAACCTGTACAAAGTTCTCCCGTTCCCGACTATACATAATACATAAGAGAACAAGCGGGATTTTGGAAAGGTTAAATGTGCGTTTTCGCACTTTCAAAGGAAAGTTTTAAGCTGCAAAAGACTAATTGAGTTGGAAAAAAATAGCTAAGATATTGTCATCTCCTCAAAAATATGTTATTAAAAGGCTTTTATAGTATTACAATCGTTGAACGTGTCAAAAAAATAAAAATAGAATTGCACCCATAAAGCCTGTGTTATTTTTCCCCCAAGTGACTATATATATCGCGAGTGTCACGTGACCTTTTGGAATCCCAAATATCCCAATAATATATAAAGCAAATCCCCCCTTCTCACTTTTTTTGGTGTAAGAAATGCGCGCGCTCTTATTCCTCTCTCTCATTCTCTCATACTTATATCCGTTCCGCTCTTTTCTCTCTGCTGCCCACGCAAGACGCAACACTCGTAACACCGCAACAGTGTAAGTACTTAAAGCTTTTTTGAAGTGAAGGTGAAGGCAAAATGATGTCATGTCAGACTTGTTGTCCAATGCATGCACTGTAAATATCGATGTTCACATGCTGGTTGCCATCTTAAATCCAAGTTCGATATAATGTGAACTAACATTCACAGTATACACTTTATAATGTGAATTAAATATACTTATAAAAGGTCGATTCGCAGGTAAAAATTCGATTGCAAACTTGCCGCAAATAGCACTGACAATGTCAACTTATTATTTTCTATTAATACGATTAGTTGCGGCTGGTTTATAATTAATTAAATGGCTCTACTGTAAGTATTAGTAATAATTATTTGGATCAGCGCCATCTAGCGTTGGGGATTTTTGAACTAAAAAGTGGCCCTAAACTTTTGGCCCACAGCATTAGCGCTTAGAGCCATTTAGCCAATTATAAACCAGCCGCAACTCATCTTGTAGCTATAAAATGAAAAAATAACAGTATATGTGTTTTTGGCGGCAAGTTAACAATCTATTTTCTACCAAAAAATTGACCTCCAATGTATTTATACTTTTAAAGACAAATTTTCGAGTAAAAGATAAATTTTTTACTTACCGCCACAAACACATGTATCGTTATTTTTTTTATTTTATAGCTACGAGATAAGTTGCGGCTGGTTTATAATTAGTTAAATAGCTCTAAGCGCTAATGCTGTGGGTCAAAATTTTAGAGCCACTTTTTAGCTCAGTAATCCGCAACGCTAGATGGCGCTGATCCAAATAATTATTACTATAGAGCCATGCTATCGATTATAAAACAGCCGCAACTAATGTGATAGATAGACAATAAAAAGTTGACTTTTACTGTGCTGTTTGCGGCAAGTTTATAATCTACGTTTTACCCAAAAATCTACCTTCAAAAAACATTTGTATCATTAAAATACTTAATGCTCATTGTTGGCCAAGATAAACTTATTAATTGCTCATAGCAGCAGAGAAGAAATCAAAGTGGTAATACTTAACACCTTGGATAAAAATCGATGGAGTTTTGAATAGGCGTATTTTGGATGATTGGATCGTATGATTGGAGCAGTATTATGTTATTGTATAGACAGGCCAGGTTTATCTCTTTTACTAGAGTACAAAATCGGTTCTCACCAGCGTTGCAACCGTACAACACTAGAGAATTGATAGAGGTATGGTGTTTCGAATATTTTATCATGTAAATATTTGTCTGGAGATGCTCAAGAGGCAGGAGTATCCAGATTATAGCTACAAAATGAGTTGCGGCTGGTTTATAACTGGTTAAATGGCTCTAAGCGCTTATGCTGTGGATCAAAAGTTTAGGGCCACTTTTTAGTTCAGAAATCCGCAACGCTAGATGGCGCTGATCCAAATAATTATTAGTGTACTTACAGTAGAGCTATGTAATCAATTATAAACCAGCCGCAACTAATTTTTAAGACATAAAATAAAAAGTTGACGTTGTTTGTGCAATTTGCGGCAAGTTTACAAACTATTTTTTTACCCAAAAATCGCTCTATATATTTATACTTTTGGAGGTACATTTTCAGGTAAATTGTAAAGAAGATATCATAGAGAAAGAATATATATAGTGATGGAATTAGGCATTTTGGCATCCATTTACGATGTCAGTACCATCAGTCCATCAATATTTTGTGTATGGGATATTATTATATTAAAAGGGTTAAGGGTTAAGGGTACTTTTTAGCTCTAAATCAGACACGCAAGATGGCGCTAATTGTGAGCTGTTGTAGGTTTTAAGTCCCTGTATATATATATGTCGTCGTGGGAGAAGGTGCTGGAAGCTGGAATGAGCAGAGAGACCTTGTATATGAGTGTGTGCTTTATTTACAGGTATTACATGTGCGGCTCGGACTCGGACTCGAGCTCGGCAAGGACTGAAGTCGTCAGTAAGCGGTTACACCGCACGACTCGTATAATAGTGGGGGTAAGCCCCTACACTGTATATAGTTTCAATTATATAGTCATTCATTGATTCATTCACTGAAACTATTTACTTAATGTAAGTTTAATTTATAAGTGATTCATGTATTGCTTAATAGCCAAATGTAAACAAACTTGAAATAACTCTGTTGAGTATCGATATGTAGCTGTTTGTTAACAATTAGAAGAGAATGGAAACCACACACGTTGTTTTGATACATATGAATTGTATTTATTATTTATTTCGGTTTTACTTTTACCTCACGGAAATGTTTAATCTAACCTTGGCTTTGTGGAGCTCTGGATGTAGTACTTAGTGCTGTATATTTTAAATAATGTATATTAAAAAAAAAAAAAAAAAAATGAAGTAATATTATTATTGATGGCAAAATCTTATTTAACATTCTTGGTTGCGTTATTGTTATTTTAAAATGTTTTGAATCATTTCATGTTTCATTAACTTGTCTTCAACATAAATTATTGTAGATTTTTAAATAACATGAATTTTTGTATTGTTTTAGCTGCTGAAGCATGCCTTGATTCACACAAAGCAATGATACTTGCAGCAGCAGTGTGAAAAAAAAAAAAAAAAATGTCACTTAAAAAATTAAGGACACACGAAACAGTAAGTAACTATTATTTTACTGGTATGTAAAATTATAAATAAATTAAACACAGTATGTACTTGTAAAATATCCATTAATTCTTTTTTCAGTGGTGGAAAAATTTTAACCATGAGCAGTTGCTGGAGCTACTGAATCACGTTCCCTTACCAAAAATGTACGACCAAGAACTAAACAATTCATTGCATTTCATAGCAAAAACGGATAATGATTTTATTGCTAGCAAACTCTTAAGAGCTGGATGTGATAAAGATGAACGGAACCACGATGGAGATACACCACTTGCAATCGCCTTGTTGAATAGAAATGCAAAAGTAGCAAAAGTCCTTTTAGATGCTGGAGCGGATCACAAAAAGGCCATATTTAAGAATAAACGGAGCCCTCTTCATGTAAGCGTCAGGAATGGATTTGTCGATGTTGTTAAGATGCTACTTGATGCTGGTGCCAATGTCAATGCTGCTGATTCTGATGGACAAATTCCTTTGCACGATGCAATTTTAACCAAAGATGGTACATTTTTATATAATATTATGTTTGCTCAGAAATAAATAACGTAATTTCTATAAATATGCCAGTACGCGCAATAATTAATCACGAATTTTATTTTATGTATCAGGAATGAAGCAAAATGATAGATGCAAAATTGTTAAAATGCTGATCAAAGCTGGGTCGAACATAAACGAAAAAGATGATTACGGGGACACGCCTCTGCATTATGCTATTAATTCTGGATTTGTTGAAGCTTTCGAAATGTTGCTTCATGCGGGAGCTGATATTCACGAAAAGAACCGATACGGACAATCATTACTGTATCTGGCCGTTGAAAATGATGCTTTATATTTCGTAAAACGGCTCATTGAAATTGGTGTCGACATCAACGGAATGAATGAACAAAACATCACCTGCTTGCACTGGGCAGCTGCCTATACTCGCGTCGATATGTTACAACTATTGCTTGAAAACGGTGCCGTGGCAAACTTTTGTGATGCAGACCATTACAGTCCTCTTTGCTACTATTTAAGAGAACTGAGAGGATTGCATATGACTTTCACCGAAGATTTATATCCTATGGACGAAAATTATGACGATTACTTTGAATGTCAACTTCCCGGAAAGGTATAAAATTTAAATGAAGTTAGTATTTTATTTTGCACGATACTGCCTCATTGTGTGTGCTTTTCGTTTTTCTGTTGGGCAGTACCATATTTTTAGTTGTCGTAAGGACATCAATAAAAAAGGATACATTTTTTCAGATAAACCAGCATTCAAAATGCATGGAATTGCTATTGGAACACGGAGCCAATGTTAATTGTTCAAATTGTTCAGCTGTATGCGATGATTCGCCCTTGTACGTCGTTCTCTCTAATGTGTATTTACACAGTCAGTTCTTGAAATTTTTGTTGCAAAACGGAGCGACATTTGATTTCAAGCATCAAATTGTATTGAATTTGAAAAATAAGTTCAACGGATCGAAGTACCGAAATATGTTGGTCAGACATCAAGCCATGTTTGAAGCGAACAATCGAAAAGACGGACCGACGAATTTTAAACTGCATGAGCAAAAGAAGCAGGTGCAAACATATTACGCCCGTTGCCGGGATGAACTGGAGCTCATGAGATCGTCTCAGATTAGCGATACAAACATAACATTTTTCCACATGCTCCTGGATCGGAACATCGGGTGTTATACTAGAATTGAAAATATCGAAGACCTGTTTAAGATGCAGTGCATCACGAAAAGGTTTCCTATTTACAGTGATTTACTAATCGAGCGCTTTACCAAAGCGTTTGAGCATGAAAAACTCATTGTGAAGGCAACAACAGGCCTTGCCCACCTGTTACATTGGAATGTACATTCCATGCGAGTTATTTTGGATAACATTATCTCTTACGTCGGTAAAAGAGATTTACTCAATTTGGTCTCTTTGTAATAGAATTTCATCCTGTGTAATATTTCTCGATTTTTTTAAAATCATGTTTTTTGATAGTATTATTTTTTACAAACTTTTTGAGTAAATGTTGATGTTTTGTATAATATTTTTCATGCTCTGCACCATTCCAGAAAAATCCTTTTCTTAGGATACCAATAGGAAAAGGGGGATTGTTTTCGCTAAGTTGATTTTATTTATTGTTCAGAAGATTTTTGTAATTGGAGCAACGAATTATTTCTCTCAAATTTGGAAAGTAGGATATCAAAGAAATAGGAGAGAATTAATTTAAAAAGGCATAAATAAAGACAGCAAACAGCATACGGTTAATAAACATATTTTGTTATTTAAACAAAGACACGTAACATATTTGAGCGGTTGTTTTAACTATTGACGTCATAATTAATTGGTCCCTGCAAAGGAAAATCTAAAAGTATACAAAATCTCTTCACATAATTCAATGGCACAACTAACTTTTGATAATTTTCGATTACTAATGTGTTTTTTTTTAATGTGTACTCTAAATTAGTGTAGTAATGGACTAGTTTTTAAATATTTTTATGGCGTTAATAAAAATAATTGATTTTAAAAACTTTTTAAATAATACTATGCTTAATATGAAATATTGCATGAAAAAGAAATAATACTAAAAGTGGTTTCTTTGGCATAACAATGAAAGATAATAATAGTACGTACAAACTGTATTTAACAATATAAATAGCCAACAAGTTTGCTAATGATGAAAACTTGAATATAAAATTTTACGTCTTTAGTATAAGTTTAATATGTTAAAAAAAATAAACCATTGAATGTTGATGGGTTTTATACATCTTCCAATTGTAAAATACACATCCAATGCAACAACTGTAGGATATTGCTCTGTCATTGTTTCAACTGGATAAAGTCAAACGTAAAAAACAAAGCAATGAAAACTTGCTCTTGCACAACCCTACATGAAAGTCTCTCGAGGTACTTTCATTTTTTAGCATCAAAAGGTCATGGCTTCCCCACTTGAGTAAAAAAGTAAATAAGTATTTTAAAAAATGTGCAACTCTCTCGAAAGAATCACACATAATAGCGCTATAAAAATCTAATACGCGATAAAAATATTTTCTCTCGAGTTTACGTAAAAAAACAAGCCTTTATCGGAAAACCTTTTGTTTTTTTTTCAAAACAATTCGCCAAAAGGTACGTTAAAAAATTACACCTACAACTACAATCAGGTATTGATGCACAACTACGAAGCATGGCCGGGAGCTTTGTCATGCCGTCGAGGAGTCCTGATTCGAGCTTTCCGAATCGCTTGGCGAGATAAGAGGGGTTTTGATGAGTGACACCATGGCTCGGATCGGTCTTTTGGGCTTGGGTGGCGGCGTTGGTGGCTTCGAGCCGTCGTCGACAATGTCCAACGTTGATGGCACGGGCATCTTGTTTTTCGTACGGTAGACCACGGTGTTGCGAATGGCGGTAAGCGTCGCGGTGCTGCAGTAATTGAATGACGTGCTGTCCTCCGATAAGTTGCAATAGTCAACTTCGCGCGTTTTCAGAGGAAGCGGAGGTGGCGGGTCATCCTCGGAAGCTGTGCTATCCGTTGTCCCGATGCTGTCTCGATTGCCTTGGCCTTGACTGTGAGCATCCAGGCCGTTACTCGTTGATCGCAGGTACGTCTGCGATTGGCCTGACAATCGATTACTTAGTCGTCGCTCCTTCTCGGCCTCTGACCTTAACGGACGCTTTGGCTTTAACTGCAAGTCAACGGTGTGGTATATTAAAAAAAAAAAAAAAAAAAAAACAATTTTTGTGTATGATAAAATAGAGATTCGCTCACCTCTTGCCGGAGTTCAAACACTGGAGTTGAAGGAAGACTTGGTGTCGAGGCAGATATGAGCGACAAAGGCTGGCACTGTACTGGTGACGGCTCTGGTGTGGTGTACCATTGGCAGGTCGGTTGTTCCGTTTTCAAAGTCATCGAGTTGTCGCTTTTACGGCTACTTCGTCGCTTGGTGTCTTTTTTCTTGCTCGTACCAGTGTTCGAGCTACCAAGTGCCTTTTGCAAGGACGACGTGGATAATATATGCGAGCGTGACGAGTTGCTAGTTCTAAAAATTGAATGAATATGAACGTTTAGTGCTTCCTTAAGTGTTCTAGTGTTATAAATGTTACTTATGTTAATTTTATGGTTTTTTTTTTCTGTAAATAGTACTGAAGGAAATTTTGTTAAAGCCAACAAAAGAAAAGATTAGTACCATTGTTATTACTTAGGTTGTTTAAAACTTTATTAACAACGTGAGTCATTTTTCAACAATGTGGATTTTGTTAGGTGATCAATAATTTTACTTTCATAAAATTGTAGCACAAAAATAAGCACTTTGTATGTGTATGGGTCGTGTCTAAAAATCTTAGTCAATATTAAGTAAAACGTAGTTATTTATCAATTAGTTGTCTATGCTTGTTCAGTGATTTTAATTGCATATCATGCCAACATTGACTTACACCGTTAAATGGTTTTTGAACAAAACAACTTGTGAACGAATTATCAAGCGAATAAAAAGAATTGTTGGTGCACGTTAAGAAAATATGATATTTTGAAGAAATGCGACAAAATGAAAAAAACACAATGAGATTTTTTCGTTTACTCTTTTTCTGAGTAACCACAAAAATACTTCCAAGAACAGAGTGAAAAGCTTGCCACCCCCTTCCGAAATTCTTCGAGGACACAGTTAATCGCTTTGCAGTGTCGGTTATTGTGGTATATTTAGCAATGATTTGTGCAAAGAGTATTGGATGAAGCGTTTGCTTCGTTAACCATCACTTGATTTTTACCTTGACAAACCGACACTCGGCAATACCGAGATGGGAGAACTGTTGAAATTGAAGCTCGCTAGTGATTTGAACGCGGCAACTTGTGATCTCGTGAGCGAAGTGACTCTGGACCGAGTACCGCAACTAAACGCAAAAAATTGCCAGAAAATTGTCGCACGGCGCATTAAACAAAACAATAATCTTTGTGATTCGAGTGCTTATACTGATGATTGTTTTGCTCAAGAAACCCTTTTCATTATCTACTCTAAATCGCTCGATTACTGGGTAAATTTTTTTATCTTTAACCAAAACCTTAAGGCAAGCAAAAAAAAATGTAATTTTTTCATTAGTCATGTCGTTACCTATTGTAACAGCTACTTACTCGTTGCTATTTATACTGGAGCTTGATAAACGATTATTGTCTCCCTTTGGCACGTGTCGTCTTATGGTAACTGATGGAATTGAAATCTCAACTGGTAAATCACAGGACTAAAAATCATAATGACATTTCGATTAATCCAAATAAAGGATACTTAATGAATAGTCGAGCAAAAAGTGTCGTTACCCTTCTTCCATATTTTGCCTCAACTTCGGTGCGCATAGAAACAAAGCACTGTTCCATACGCTGATGCAGAGCTCCAAGCTCTGGTGATGCTCTTGCTTTGTGCACTTGCAAACCAATCCCGAGCAACGGAATTTGTTCTGCTATTAAATTTTCTAGCCTCTCTAAATTTTTCATTTCCTCGGGATGACTTTCTTTGTACTCGACATTTAAAAATGCTTTTTCATAATTATCAATTCCTCCCATCACCGCTGCATCCAATATTCCATTAAGCTTCATCGTCAATGGATTTAACGGAAGACTGCTGTCTGATCTGTAACATAAAATATCATACATTTTTTAAAGTTCATTACATATATTAGGATAAACTCATTTATATGTATGGCTTACCTGTGTGAAACAATAAGATCTCTTAACGCAGCCTTAGTAGCTTCCATCGTTTCAATGGCATTCTCCAGTGGACTTACCAAGTAAGTTTCACTACTGACAACAAGGAACCATCTAAGTATACCTGGCAGTGAATGACTAGTGGCTAGTAAGGTTCTCTCTAGCCATAGAGACGCAAATTCGTTGGCCGCCTCTTTATCTTTCTCACCGTTTCTCGGTGCTGGTCTTGAGAATCGAAACTTTTGTACGTTGTTGACGCGGTGATATCTAAAGTTCCATTCAAGGATTAAATCAAGAAAATAACTGCATGTACAAGAGCTAAAAAAAGCACAAACCTCAAAACAGGCTCAGCGGTAACGGGCTTCCCGCTTAACCTGTGCTTCTTCTCATCCATCACAGGATCAACTTTGTTTATTTGAATGTATTGTGCGTTAGACTCCATTAGCTTATCACTTGGAGGCGACAGTTTGTTCATTGGCTCGGCATTAGGTAGCTGGTTGAGCATCCGCGAACAGAAATCACTTATTCGCTCGTACTCCTTTCCTCTGTACACGAAAACCTTATTACGCAAGAAGAGCGGGTATCCGCGCCCGTAGTACGCGACCCGGAAGTACTCGGGCTCGGGTCTCAGTTGTTTGACTATCGAGTCGTAGAATTTCGACATTCGATTAAGCAACACCGACAACTGCAGGTAGTCATAGGTCTCCTCCTCGTATTGAACGCACAACTCCTTGCACATGGACAAAGCTGCCTCCCACATTTTACCCTTGTCGAAGTAGTCGATTATGTCGTTGTAAAGGCACTCTTTGAGCTCACGGTGCGTTTGACACGACGGATATCTGTTCGACTTGAGGAGGGAAGATAAGGGCTGGTCGTTCCACGAGAGCAAGCAGCTGTGAAGTTGCAGCGTGTAAGCGGCTTCGGTGTAATTATCACACTCCAGATGAAGTTCGCACAATTTGTTGACGTATCTGAGTGAACATGACAACACACATTGTTAACATACGAATAATTTTTATGTTCAATGTTATTGATACTCGACAACCTAAAACGTTACAACAAAGTTTTGTTCATCGGGATTAGCTCACCTTATGTACATTTCATTTTTGTGAATCTCGGAATAAAATTCCAAAAGATTAACAGTACACAGCATCCGATGTTCCTGCGACTCGGCGTGAATGACGTCGCGGTACTGCAACAAATGGTCCATTAACTTGGCCACCGTGTCGACGAAGCGCAAGCCTTGCTCGTGCAAGGTTTTGTGATTCTCACAGAGGGGAGTCATTTCTTTCACCCACAGGTCACGAAAGTCCTCATCGCCCTTACCACCTTCGACCTGTTGAATAAATCATCACGATATGTTAAAGAGTTTTACAAAAACTCGACCCAGTCAAGTAGACATTGTATTTGTAAATTTGTGGAATATATCTCCAAAAGTCAAAAAAATATTGCTGAGTGTACACCGCATTGCGTCACCGCTCGTTCAATCAAAGCCATTAATTAATGCGAGCGACGACGGTTGTAAAACGCATACAGCCATTTATAGACGGTCTTTACGACCTTGCTAACGACCACACCGTCAATCTCGTTGTCGAGCAAAAAAAAACAAACTACCACATTGTGCTGCTGCCAGCACATAATATGTATACGAACCAAAATGTCGAGTTTTGCGATCATCTCGTTCTCGAACTCGTTGAAGTTGGCCTTGAGCGATTTTCCCTGGCTCCTCTTGTCGCTAAAGCCCTCGACGAATTTCGAGCTATAGAACTCGGTCTGCATCATGTCGAAGAAGATCGGTATGGCGGCCTCCTTTCTGAGCTCAGGGTCGGGAATCAGGGCCATCTCCAGGATCGCCCCAACGAGCGTGGGCACGAAGAGTATCTTCCTACCGCCTAGACTGATCCACATCTTGTGTATTTCAGCAGCGGTCTCGCGACGCATGTCCTTGTAGCGCTCGAGGAAGCGCTTGCGCTTCGCCTGCGAGAACACCTCGAGCTGGAGGGCCGGCTGGGTGAGGAAGGCGATGGCGCAGTGGAAAAAATTCGACCAGGCCTGCTGCTCGAAGTTTGCGTTGAAGAGCTCGCGTATCGTCGTCGAGAAGAAACGCAGGGCTTTCAGGATCACGCTGTTTTGGAGCATTATCATCTCGCACCAGTCGTGCGCGAATACGCTCCGAGATACCAGATCCTTGAACACCATCAGTATTTCCATGAGAAAGTCCAGCAGGTCGAACTCCGTGCCAAAGTGCTGGATGTAGATCTGGTAGTGCTGGTGGGTCATTTGTCTGGAAATTTTTTTTCAATTTTATCTTATTTTTAAATTTGCATTTGATGTATGAAAAAAGAGGAATACTGAAAACCTTTTGCACGTACCTAAAAATCGACAGCATAACAGCCACCAAATTACCCACCAGTGGATTTTCCCTGTCCATATTTATCACAGTTTGTATAATGGTTCTGAGAGCTGTCAACATGATCTCCTTGATGTCGGAAGCAGTCGAGCCGACGTCTTTCCTGAATGTCAGGTCCAGGACGTCCGACAGTATCTTTATGCATAGTTCGACCTGAACCGGCACAAAAAAAAACCACTTTGAATTTACCAAAAAATGCATCAGGAGCAAGAGAAAAATCTTTATCATAAATCTACTGGAATAAGTAAATAAATAAATCAAGAACGAGGACACGTTTGATCAGCGTGCCTACGGTTTTGATGAGAGGAACAACAAAAAATGAGCAGTATATTTTACCTCTTCGGAGTAGCCGCGATGCTGGTTGAGTCGATGCCGATTTTCACCGAGCAGCCTGGCTGCCTTTGCCACGCTTTTGCCAGGCGGGCCCGACAATCTCTTTATTTTTTTTTTTTTATTTATTTTTTTTTTTTTGTGCAATACCGCGCGTAGAGAGTTTTTGTTTGTTTTTGTTGTTGTTTTTTTTTAAACCAAAAACCACACCAACCACACAGGAAAAATGTAAAATATAAAACAAAAAAAAATAATAACCCGAGGTTAGTGCAAACTCAGGAGATACATAAATTAAGAAAAATAATATTAAATATATGTATTAAATAATATACATTAGAAGAAAAAAAAAAATAACACCATAGCCATTGATTATTCGTACAATATAAAATATACAGCAGGAAGGCCAAAACTTTTTGCTCCCATCTTTGTCTGATATCTCGCTGTGGAAAAAGCACACAACAATGACTCACTACATTGCATCCACGTACATACAGAATTGGCATTGCATTATCTTTTTCTTTCACTTTGTTGTCTGTCATTTTTTAAATCAAGCGTGAAAAAAACCTGTGCAACTTCAGGAGCAGTAAAAAACGAGTTGTTTCAAACGGCAAAAAAACACATTATTAACGTCACGTTGGACGTATTGCAAAGTTTTTTCCAAAACATAATTTAAAATTGAAAAACGCATTCAATACCATCAAGAGCGTAAGTAGTATATAGTATAGGCACAAGGAAGTATTTCGTAACCGATGAGGCGACAAAGATCTGCGCTCCGTAGTTTCAAATTACAGGCGGTGCTTGTGTCAATTAATCGAGACGGGAATTAAATCCAAGACAATATCGGATAACTGACTTGTCGCTCGACCTCGTCACCTATCGATTTTTTAAATCTTTTAGTTCAAAAGGTAACACTATCATGCATTTATTATCTTCAAACATCATCAACCGAATCATTTACATTGTGTGTGTTTTTCTGATAAATTACCAAGTCACATCCATACAGTTCGATGTACTTTTGATCTTCAGTATTTTTCCTCTAAGTACGAGACTTTACAAAATAATTCATAATTGCTCTTATTGAAAAAAAAAAAAAAACAAAAAAAAACAGGGACTGTTATACTAAAAAAATAAAATTATGAAAATGCATGAGACGGTGAATTAACTATGAAGAATAACGTGCTCGGTAGATCCATGATCCAATTCGTCAAGAGCATATTGATTACATACTTACATGCACTATTAATCGCGTTTTTTAATGAGCAAACATGTCATTAATTCTCAAGACACGGATAAATTATAACAACTAACAGTTCAAGCATCAAAGTAGCACACATCATCTCTGATACAATAATGTTAAAAAAAAATAAAAAAGAAGCATTAAAATATTTAAATGCAGTACAATCTACTTAAATACGTAACTAATTAACTTACTAAAATGTGCAACTGTTGTTCTACGCACTTGTTTCAATTACCCAGAAAAAAAAGCTACAAAAGAAATTACCATACAGAAGGATGAAAAAAAAAGCTCGTTAGTAAGGTGTGGGTGTATGTGTAAACATGTATATGTGAGCGTGTAACGAAAGGACGTCAGGCTGCACGGTAAACAAGAAAGCAAAAAACTACACTGATTCACCGACACATTCATTGAGAAAAAAAAAAAAAAAAAAAAAAAATAGTAATGTGGTGATTCTCGAGGTGGATGGCGATTTATTATTAGTAAAAATTAAATGACACGCAAAGTTAAACAGTAGAAAAATATGACGCTCGAGGTGAAATAAAATCCATGGCATATTAATCGTACCTCATCTTTGGCTTCGAGTAAATCGCGCACAAGTATCGTGATTCTGGGGAGCAGAATCTGCCGATACTCCATGTTTAAAAACAACTCGCTGTGCACGATATCGTTGACGGTCATCATTTTCTGCTTAGTTAGTCGACCAGTGGGTAGAGTTACCAGCAAGTCGATCAAGATCATGCTGAGTTGCTTGCCACTGTAGACTTTCAACAGATGAGGTATTGTGGACGGCAGGTATTTCAGACAGGCACCTTGAACCAACAGCGTTCCATCGGTCTCGTATTTCATAAGGTCGACGATCGACCTCAAGAGTTCGGTAAGAGTTAGCGAGAATTCCTCCTCGTTTTGATTTAGCCTGAGAATTTTGTTATAGGGATGTTACAATTTTTTTTCAAAGGCCAAAAATACAAGCAGATTTTAAACTTACTCGGTAAACAAAAGCCTAGATTCAACTATGAATCGCAGACAGTATTGCAGATTTTTCATTGTTTTAAGCAAAATGTCCTTTTCTTGGCCATCGCTAGCACCTATGCTTTCGATTCGCTTTTTCAATACAGTTATAAGTTTCTTGTACGCTAACGTCGCGGAAAAACTGTCGGAAATATATAAATCTAAAACTGGCTGAAAGTGTTGATACTTTCGATCAGAAACTAATCCTATAATATAAAGAAGGCACTCAAAGACAATATCATCGTAATCATCACTATCTGTATTGCTCATTAGGATACCAAATAAAGCATCTAAAACGTCCTGAAAAATATAAAATTGGTAAATAATACGCAACGTCATTGACAGTCACAAGAAATATGATGAGGAAGAAAATGTACTTGTAAAAATTTAACGACTTCTTCACCATCTACTTTCATTAATGCAGCCAACGATTCTTTGAGGTCTGTATTAGAAGACGACCAATTCAATAACCCCAACAAATCCACGTTCTGCGTCAATTTGGTTGAACACACATTAGTAGCTATGGAAAAACTATCCTTGGAAGACAAATTTAAAGGACCAAAACTTGGCTTCTTCTCCAAGTTAAGCTCGTTCAATTCTTCTCTGGTCGACGGCAATCTCAAGTAACCCGTCTCGCTTTCCTCGTACTTTTTATTGTCAATCTTATAAACTAATAATTCGTGCTGAGTATCCTGTAACGTCGTACCGTTGCGTTGCATGAGCTTCACGTAGCTGAGGGCAAACGGCTTCTCCGATCTGTCTTTCGTTTCGTTCGAGCTCCGATGCTTAAACGTAAGCTTCAAATGAGCTAGTTTGAACTCTTCTATAGGAACCGCGATTTTGAAGGTCTCGCACCACCTGGGCTTATCTTCATGGTAATAAATTACACTGCGATATTCATCGATCGACGACGTACCGCCGCCTAGTGTTATGACACCTGGTATCACTGCACCGTCCTCGTTGCATACTTTCACAGTCACTTCGATGTTTTTGTCGGTTGACTTGGAACTCTTGCCGAGCTCACCATTCACCAAGGTTAAATACAAATCGTTGCGAACATCTCCTGGCAAGATAACTTCCGGAAATCCCATTTTTCGAGCAATTGACACGTTGCCGAATACTAAATGAGGATTCTCATCCTTTACCTGCAAAGAATACAATTCAAAATATTTTTTACATTTTATTAAGAGTAAATATTATTCAAATCTACAACTATACACACCTGCTTGATATCCCCTCTCAATAACTTCAAACTGCACCATAGCCCTTGGCCCACATTATTTCCTATACTACTATTTTTTTGTAAATTAACTTCTTTCTGTTGTAGAAATCGTCGTAAGGTAGCGTCAAAGCTTTCCTTCTCACAACATCTGAAAGAAAGAAAAAAGCAACAACAAACAGAGCCGAACGAAAAGCAAAATGCAATGATAAGGAATTTTAATGAATCTCAACTAACTGTAAAAAAGGTAAACAGTGTTCAACTTCTGGATCACTCTCAAGTTTTCCATTGATAAAAATAGTGACATCCATGGCAGCAATGCCAAAAGGTCTTCTCATGCAATCTTGATGCTTTGATTTTTGATTTGGCATAATACTACAGCGCTTATGGTCCATCTCCTTGGCTTCCATACCCCCGATTCTAATGACATAACAAACTAGGTAAACTTTTTCCCTGGCCAAGTCGCGGCTTCCGAGATCGGTAAATAAAACTTTGAGATTATGCAACTGATCAATGTCCGTTATTAGACCTTGTTTGCTCCAGGTAAACACATAATTTTCAGTTATGGCTTTCATTTCTTTGCAATCGTACAATGTTAACAATAATTCAACATTTTCCACCATTTTACAAACAAAATTTTTAATATTAACATAAAAAATGAACGAATAAACTGGAGCTTGAGGCTTGATGGGTTTCTTTTTTATGTCGACCGCGGCCTTTCTAATTCTTTCTGCAGCTATCTCGTGCTGTTTATATAGTTGTATAGTACTAGTTTGTTCTGGATTCAATATGTTCCCATCCTCGTCTCTCACAACCATATCAAGCCCCAACAACTGATTACCAGTATCAATTTTAGACGTAGCCAATTTTTTTATATCTTTCAACTCATCGACTGTTAAGGTACCGCTTAAAATTTTGCTCCTGTATCCTATGAGTTCTGAAATTTGATTTTGCATAGTACTAAAGTGTTCCGAGTGTGTCTGAAAGAAATTAGAAAACGAAAATAATATAGAAAACGTATCTTGTGGAAAAAAGAGAACAAATATTGGAGCAAAAAAAAGTAATTACAATATAGAGCTGTTTCCAGAGATTGCCCCATTCCCTGAGAACACTTGTGATTTCGTTGACAAGGGCCTCCATGCTGGTAAACCTTTGTCGAAGGCAAACGTAGGTCTTGGGAAATATTCCATATTTGTTTTCGTATTTTTTGTAGCCGTAATACCAATCGTCGCATTCCCTTTTTATAACAACGGCATCGCCGACGTTCAATTGCAATCGGAACTCGCCCTCTTGAGTAAAATTGTCGATGGCTTGAAAATGCAAAAGTATAAATTTTTTACCGACAGCAAATCAGAAAGATAGAAAATAATTATTGATAACAATAATGAGGTAGAGGGCATAGCCAGCGATCATGTAATTGCCTTTTAATGATTTTATGCGCATCGTAAACGAGACACGGTGACAGGCATTCAAAAAACAAAAACAACAAAATTGAGTCATCGACACGCAACTTCTCGGCCAAGTAGGTAAGTACATGAAAATTTTAATATCGCATGAATCGTACACCATGTAAACTCGAGTACCTCATTATTGAAACAAAGCTGGCAATAATAATGATCATATCCGTGCAAATGTGCATATGCCAGAGCCCAAGATAATAAAAAGTTTGCGTTAAAAAAAAAAAGCAAAAATGTATAATATATTCATTGTTAGTTATCTCCCAAAAGATAAGTACAAGTATTAAATACATAAGACATTACTTAAATAAGACAAGGGGAAAAATCGGAGCAAGCACGGGGGGAAGAGAGTGAATATAAAAAATATAAGTGATGACAATTGATATGCATGTGCTTGTTAAAAAAACCCCCATCTATAATTTAATCATGCAATGTGCATGTGTAAGTGTTACATACCAACGCCCATCCGATGTTCCTTGAGCCTTCTCCATACTGTCGCTGTCATCGTCGCTGCTGATGACGACGACGTTGATGACGATAACGATAAGCTTAACAATGATACTGCGGATGACGATCGTGGCAATGCTCTGGACGAGGGGCATTAAAAGCATCCGATCCCTACCCTTCGATGATGATTTACGTCGATATTCTGTGTGTTTACACTGGAGTAGCAGCTACATAGGTTCTGCCTGCTACTACTGTTGCTGATTAACACTTTGTAACATACACAATGCACAACGAAAGGAGGGGACAATATATAAAACATATACTTATGGGAGTGACTAATAACATGTACTAAATAATTCTTATGCGCTTATCACGAGAGACAGAAAGAGAGAGAGAGAGAGGCGTACCGAACGATACACTCAGTACTTGGAATCCACATCTTTAACTATTGTGCATTTTATGTGATCTTGGTTTGAAGTGCCGCGATAACACATCAGGATGTAGGTATTGTCGTCGTGTTCCTGCACACGTCGTGGTGTAGATATTCTCTGCACCATTTTTGCATTAACTTTTGTCACGGTCAAACAACACCACACGATTGCTAGACTATTTCTTGTACTCGTAAAGTTGAAGTTGTTCTGAAAAATATATGTTTGTTATCACGATTTCAAGAAACAGTAGAGTGGCAACACACATTACTTATTAGCACACAAGATGCAACAGAGGCATTTAATTGAAGACTAATTATACTTGCAACTTGCAAGTACGAGGCTACGAGGTGTAAGTATTATGTGCATTGGTATATAGTGTGCACCTATACCTACTCACCAAGCCTTGCGTAGCGGATCTAGAGAAGTAATCTCTGCAGGAGGCAGGTTGGGGTAGAATAATAATAATCGCCTCATTAATATAACTATACTTATTTAGATTCGATGAAGCAATATAAATATACCTCTCGTACTTTCACGATTCACGTGTGGCATCACGGCTAATTGTGTTTTTTTACACAGATCCTCTAATTAAGTTATTTAGTGATGACACTCGCAGTGGGGGTCTCTGAACTGCATCAGTCTGTTTATATATCTATGTAATTGTTCACTTTGAAGTGGAAAGTTACAATTTAAAAACTTGAATCTATATCATTTTTTACAGCGATTGCAAATAAATACTACTATCAATTGATAAATATTACACATTTACGTGTGTGTACTTATTCCGATTTTTATGATTTTGTTTCTAAGCTAATTGTGCAACGCAAAGTTAATGCGTCAGCATCGGCAATCGGCAACGTACAGAAGCCCGCCTACGCATAAAAACGCATAAGCTGCACGCACAAGAACTGAAAAACAACCATGAATGAATGCACAAAAACACCTAGTACGAGTGCACGAAAGCGCGTATACAAGATACAAGTTGCAAGGCAGAAAGTTTCTATTTTATTTATACTTAAGTATAGCTTATAATTGTTACATCGTTACATGGGAAAGAGATTTGTTTTAAATATAATCAACTTTGGATTTTATCATTCTAGTAAAGAAAGCACGGCGTAAGATATACGTGAAGATTTACATACATATAATAAGTAGTAATTATAGTAATCACTACTAAGTAATGCTATATATCGCCGATTTTATTAAACCATATAAGTAGAATATCTATGCTTTTAGAGGTCAATTTATGGATAGAATATAAATTGTAAACTTGCCGCAATTGGCACAGACAATGTTAACTTTTTATTTTATACGTATAAGATTAATTGCGGCTGGTTTATAATTGATAACATGGCTCTACTGTGAGTTTTGTAATAATTTTTGGATCAGCGCCATCTAGCGTTGCGGATTTTTGAACTAAAAAGTGGCCCTAAACTTTTGACCCACAGCATTAGCGCTTAGAGCCATTTAGCCAACTATAAACCAGCCGCAACTCATCTTGTAGCTATAAAATAAAAAAATAACGATACGTGTGTTTTTGGCGGCAAGTTAACAATCTATTTTCTACCAAAAAATTAACCTCCTATGTATTTATACTTTTGAAGATAAATTTTTTGGTAGAAAATAGATTGTTAACTTGCCGCCAAAAACACATGTATTGTTATTTTTTTATTTTTTAGCTACAAGATGAGTTGCGGCTGGTTTATAACTGGCTAAATGGCTCTAAGCGCTAATGCAGTGGGTCAAAAGTTTAGGGCCACTTTTTAGTTCAAAAATCCGCAACGCTAGATGGCGCTGATCCAAAAATTATTACAAAACTCACAGTAGAGCCATGTTATCAATTATAAACCAGCCGCAATTAATCTTATACGTATAAAATAAAAAGTTAACATTGTCTGTGCCGATTGCGGCAAGTTTACAATTTATATTTTATCCACAAATTGACCTCTAAAAGCATAGATATTGTACTTATGTGGTTTAATAAAATCGGCGATATATAGCATTACTTAGTAGTGATTACTATAATTACTACACATAAATTCACGTATATGTTACACCGTGCCTTCTTTACCAGAATGATAAATTCAGAGGCTGCTGCCAGCACTGCCAGCAGTTAAGTTACGTATCTATATAGGTCGTTGTAACGTCGCTTGGTTGGGCGATGCAAGCGTCAACTTCTGAATGCGGCGATCAAGGATCACACGCCAGACACTCGACTCGCCAAAAAAGCCACTACAATTTATATCACGACTCCCAGTACTTACAACAATCTCAGAAATCGATAATTCCACAACAATTGTATTGCATTAATTATAAAGATGCTGTAATTTAATTAAGGCTAAGTTTAAGTAAGAATGCTTCCTTAGTTTGCAGGATCTCTTGAAACAAAATCACGTCAACAATTGATACATTGACACATTGCTCCACATAATTCATCAAGTCAGAATTACACTATGTTAAAATATGTACTGTAAATTCCATATTTTACTAAGTTTTGATAATATTGATAATAAATTAAAAAGTGATGACATAACATCACTTGAGTGCAATTCAAGTAAAAATTTACATGAAGAATCTAAAAAGCGTGTGGTAAGAAACTTTTAAGAAAAAATGTCACTAAACTATAAACTATAAGAGAATGGAGTACAGGAAATAGAAAGTAAGGAATAATAAAGTATGCTAACGAATATAATGTATAAGAGTTACAAAAATGTACCTACAAGTGTTTAAATCATTGTTGCATAGATTTTATCAGTGAAAACTTAAAAACTGTTAGTTTCACGATGTTTTATCAAAAGCTAATTTTATACAGTATATTCAGTTTTGATACTTACCTAATCACCATACTGATGAATGACGGAATTATTTGTGTAGACATGTCAATTAGAAAATTCTCAGGAAAAGAACTGTAGTTTTAATTATTTACTACCAGCTTTGAAAATTTTAGTGATTATACTCCACAATAGAGTTAAACATCTTATACAATACTTTAGTTGTGAACGAAATTGTAACAGTAAAAAGTACGTGGTAATGACATTTAATATTTTAAATGAATTTTTTCTATAAAAGTAAAAATATATCGGTTCAATCTGATAAAATAAATTCTCATCTACTTTAAATTATTATTGGTTTTCATACATGCGTCTGTTAGCGTAACATACATTTCATGCAGAAATACGATTGAAATTTAACATTAAAGGAAATTGGGAATTATGGGTTTAAACCCAATAAGACAGACAATTGTAGTGCAAATCATCGATTTATTAGTATCCACAGCTAAGAAACAATAACTTTTATTGTACAGAACAGTAGTATCGTAATTTAACTATACAAGGTATGGAAGCAAATCATACTGATTTAAAAGATGAAACAGATTTTTATTATCTGATAAACTATGTAGGTATATATTAGACAATCTTAAGCAGATAAATTAATCAAGTTCCTTGATTTGAAAGAACTAAATTGTATGTGGAATAATAACTCAAAAGCACTCTTGTTTTCAAAGATAATTTTTTTTTATTATTTGTAAAAAAGGAATTTTCATTTTTAATGTTTTTATATGCATTTCTATAAATACATTAATTACATACAGTACCAATAAAATTCGAAGGCAAAATCGCAGATAACTGCAAACTTTATACAAAATATACCTTGAATTTCTTAGTCCACTCAAACTACACTCACTCATCCACAGTAATTCTACAAGATATAACACTATAGTACTAATGATAAAAATAATAAAAACGCGATTTTTACAATAAAATAAACCGATTAAAAAAAAAAAGGAAAAAAAAGCATTTTACACGTTTCCAAAGCTGAACGGAGGTTCTTTGGAAAACTCGAGTAGAGAACAACAGAACTGATCTTTGGAACTTTAAAAAATCTCATTGGACGATGTTTATATGAGTCACTCGTACAAATCTGGATTAACTACATTATTGCATTACAGAAAACGAAAATCGTCAACTTTGCAGTAGATTTGTTAAAGTCTCAAGGATAGGCTGCTCTTGCTCCTTGAGAAAAACTCTCGAGTCCATTTTGCGCTGATGCTCCAACCGATAGAGACATCAAAGGGCATTTTTTTTTTTATATCACAAGAGAAAACAAAAAAACTACACCGAATGAATAGACTCACGTAACTGGCTTTAGTGAAAAAGAGAGTTTTGGTCTGGAGTTGTTCTTGCCAAGGATTTTTTTCTGCTCTTCCTTGACGCGTTTTTCGTGCTCTTTTCGCATTCTTTGTCTCTCTTCTTCCATTAGCCGCTGCTCTTCTACCATCGCGAGTCTTTCCTCGGCCTGTGGAAAAAAAAAGAAAAAAAAAAAAAAAATTAAAATACAATTTTCATACATATTTTCAACTAAATAATCTGATAAAACAATGTAATGCTTCAGTTTATGTAAAAAAGACTCAACATTCTTGTGCAATTTTTAACAAATTAATTATTCGTTAATTTATTCAACTTACCAGTTTCTTTTGGGCTTCTTCAATTTTTCTGTTGTTCTCCTCCATGATCCTTTCAAGTTCCTCGCGTTTTTTCAGCTCTTCCTCCTACAACGACAGTAAATGACGTTTATATGATGTATTAATAATATGAGTCAACTCTTTTAGTTACACCTCTTCCTTTTTAAGTCCAAAATCATTGGTGCTGCTATGTAATAATAACCTACGCTTATCAGCACATCCTTAGGTATAACATCATGAGAGCGGGGATTAGGTTTTGGTAGAGGGAAAAAAAAGAATTTGGTTTTGTCTTTTACGAAGAGTCCATTGAACAGTCAACAAAAAAATCTGGCTTTTGATTGTTTGAAAAATACAAAAAAAATATGAGTTATTTTTGTTGTACTAGAGAAAGAAAAGAAAGCTACAATATACTTTTAACAAATTTTATTCATCTCATATTTTAGTACAATGACGAGTTCTAGTAATAAACATCCCAAGAGAATAGTCAATAAAAGTTGGTTTTGTTAAATAAATAAGTGCATGCTACTTAAAAATTATATATTAATAGCATTGTAAGTGTGAAAAGAAATATAAGTATGTTTGACTCTTAGATATTATTATAACTAATTTGTTGTACTTAGACTTTTTTTTATCCTTTTTCCTTCTCTCCTCCCATTCATTACCCTGAATAAGAAATAACAGATTATTCATTAGAAAGCTATCAAACGAAACATTGCAACATGCTCGTCCTGACCGCTGTTTAGTTTTTCGGTGGTCCCTAACAGATTTTTCCTCGTGATTTAAAAACATCAACTTATCAAGGAACACTAGTTATGATGAACAATATTCATATAGTGAATTATGAAAATATAAATTGGATAATACCTGAATGACGCTTTCACCAGTTCATGTAGGGGCTGCCTTCTTCATCGACAATCACACGGCAGTGAGTAAATTACCGGCTTCTTCTGTTGGTAGTCAGTTAGAAAGGCGACCTATATAATTGCTAGGTCGTGCTTTGCTCGCTATGAGAATCTAATTTTCTGCCTTGTTAAGTCTACCTGGACCCGGTTCAACTCACTGTCTTTCATTCAACTTTGTTTCACAATTTATAGTTGACCGTGACATATTTACTTTTCAAAACAAAAACTTTGACAGGTCCTAAGCTAGTGTTCATAAATTGGCTGTAGCTACTAAGAGCTTTTGTAAAATTATCAAATTTTCATCAAGGCAAAATTATTAAATAGAGCTATTGTCAAAAAAGTTAAACTGATTAATTTATTTCATATTTGCAAAACAAATTTTAACACAAAATATAATTTACTTTCAACAAAAACTTCACAAAACAATTATGTCGGTCTGTTATCTTGTAATTTACGTTTCTTCCATTACTAGTAGAATCACAGGTAGAAAAGGCTTGTCTCTGGTTGACATAGGTGTAATGTACCAAAGTCTTTTAACATTGTATATTTAAAAAAAAAAAAAAGTCAACTCAGGATCTACAACACGTGTGGCCCGGCAAAAGTCTGTATCTGTTCTTCTTTTAACAATCACATGTTTACGTATATGTATGTACAAACACATAAACCTGAATTCACGTAGTGCTGGATATGTACGTATACATACATGTGTAGGTACATAATTGATCATTTACAAATAACTTACATGCTCCTACATTGGAAAAAAACCTTATAGGACCGTTTAAGCAAACCCCCACAGTAGGACTAAAAATGATGCTGGGGAATATAGGAAGCACTGAGGTTCTTTTATGCTTCAGGTTTCAAAAATATAGTTAAACCACAATGCTTCCAGCCCAAATACTGTAATACTGCTAAGTCATGTAAAAATAAATATTAATTATATGTTCAACGCGTTTTATAAAAAATAAAATTATTTTGTTTATTAATAACTGATGTAAATAAATTAAAAAATTACATCTTTGCTTACTTTAATTACTTTAAACACATACATAGTGTAAATATTAGCGATAAATCAATAAATCTGAATCGTAGTTAGCAGTATTAGTATTTGAGCTAAATACCGATGTTTCTTTGGATAAGTCTTACCTCTCTTCTCTTTTCCTCTTCGCGTAATTTAGCTTGTCGCCACTCCATTTCCTCCATCATTTGTCGTTCCATGGCTCTTTTAGCCTCTTCAACTCGTCGCTGCACTTCAGCTTCGATCTCTTCTTTTCGCTTCTCCAGCTCTTCTTCCACTCGCTTTTGCACGAGCTCCTCTATCCTTTTAGCGGCTTCTTCTTCCACAATCTTTTGCTCCACCTCTCTTTGACGCCTTAAACAAAAAAATCTTTTCTTACACTTAGAAGATTAAAACTACTGTTCAACTGTAATTTAATGCAAGTGATGAAAAAGAAAGGTGTGTAGATAGCACTTCAAAAAAAGGGTCTCTGTTCGATTTTTCTAGAGAATGAAATGTTTTCGATATCTAGAGCGTACAATGCCTGCATTACATACACATTAAGTGAAACAAGTAGACGGATACTTGGATTTTGGGTAATCTACAATAGATAACCACTGACAGTAGTTTCTATAGTACCAGTAGTTACATAATGAAGACAGTAACACATACTATGAAGGCAAATGTATATAAGTATACATAGTATGTACCTATTGTATGTATAGTATGTATTTGGTACACGTAAGTGCAGATAGTCGCATGGCAGTGCGCTTGACATAAATATTTACCTTTGTCTCTCCATCTCCGCAAGCCGCTCGACCTCGTCCATTTTCCGTTCTCTTTCCCGGTACGTGCGCTTCTTGTGCGTGACAACGTGCACGTCGTCGGACACGTCCGATGCGCTGCTGGACGACTCCGAGTGCGAGCGCTTTCTGCACAATAGGTCAAGAAAATACGAAGAGCTTTTAATACTTGTACACGAATGTCGGAAGAGAAAATCAATAATGTTACGATATCCGATTATGCCGATGCATACACACGCATGTGTGAACATTGCACTCTTGTCGCAGTGAACCATGCATACTAGTATACAATAGAGAAAAGCGTGGGTGGGACAGGAGGAACGTATTGCGGGCTAGGTGATGCGTAGATAAGAGAGAGAGAAACAAGGGAAGATGGCGACTAGCGGGTGTCGTACTAGGAGGACCACGAGTACTGTTGATAATGCGATGTTCTTATATATGTTGTAGACGCGTTTACCTGGACTTTGAGCTTTTTTCACGAGGTTTTTCGGTGTACTTGCTGTTGGAGCGCTTCTCGCGTGATTTGGAGCGATGCTTGTGCGAGTGTTTGCTCTTGTGGCGGCGCCTACTGCTCGGCGACTTGCTCCGCGACCTCGATCTGCCCATTGTGCTGCTTTTGTGGTGGCTACTTCGTTCCTCGGATTTATTGCTGCCTCCCGCAAGGAGTAGCGCAGCCTTGCTTACAGCTGTCGACGAAGATGACGACGACGAGTAGTAGGCCGCCGCTACGCTACGAGAGGAAGACGACGACACAGCTGCTGATGATGGCTGCTGTCGACGCAGGGCCGACGTTGAGTGGAGTACGTCGAGTGCCGCCGTTTTGCTGTTTTTCTGGGACAGGTGATGATGGCCAACGACGACGGGACGCTGCTGCTGCGCCACAAAATCGTCCATTAAGCTGATGCAGAATGAGCCCGCCCAGCCCCGATATGTGTGTTTATGGATTGGATAATGATAATGATACACGTTAATACATACCTCCGCTCTGGGTGTGTGTGCTTTGCTTCTCTTCTGTTCCTCGCACTTCGCTATATATATACACCGATCGCGGACCACGGAGACACAGTTCTTGCACTTGACTATAGCTTAATTGTATCTGTATCGCCCGGCTTGTTTATTATTTATGCACTTACGTATCTATTGATTGGGTGAAGAGCTGCGGATAGAAAACAATGACAAGCGACGATCAACATCGATACACACACTTCGTTGTAACTGTCGAAGTGTCGACTTCTTTTGTGAATAAACACTAGAACGCGGTGCTTGGGGTGTAAATGTTTCAAAGTTGAAATGATTGAAGGATAAAACATAAATTATTTAATTATTATTAACGTACGTCACCCAAGACTTAAACAACATGGGGGAAAAGTATGCTGTGGGGATTTGTGTGGAACTGCGCGAACTTTCGGTTGATGCAGTAGTGGGTACGTGAGGTTTGGCACTGTGGCGCTAGTAGCGTTGTGATTGCAATTATTGCAAATGCAAATACTGCAAATTGCAACTATGAATTGATAAATTATTGTTCGAGATAGAGATTTTTAATTTTCAATCTACATTTTTTTTAGTAAGAATAAATGTACATTAATAAAATTAAGTATATGTAACTTGGCGGTATTAATCGATCGATCGATTCGAACTATGTTGTTGTTATTGTTGTTGTTGTTTCTTTATTTGGCTTTTGGGTACCTAATGGACTCCGTTATGCCACATTTCATGTTTTGTTTTTTTATGAGTTTTTTTTTTTTTTAATTTGTTGCCGTTTTTGATAACTGACCGGCGCGGTACCCACCGTCAAGTAGGTAATTCCCTCTACCGTCTGAACTTTCAACTTGACAACTTTTCCAATTTCAAATCTTCAAACCTATAGAACACCTGAACTCAACAGTTCGACTGAAGATGACGCTGGTCTGTCTGTTGTTTACTATACCAGCACTTTCTGAATTTGCGACAACAGAGCTAGCAAAAAAAAAGATGGGCAGCAAGGCGGGGGTCTTGCTCTGCTCTCTCGCCTCTCTTTCTTGCAAACACGAAAACGGCAGCTGCAACGGACGCGGCGACGATATTGTAAATACACTCGCACGTAGACTCTTGTTATTATAGTAGCGAAAAAAAAAGTGTTAGTGTGTTTCGGAGCAGCAAAGCGCCCGTGGTTGCGGTGTGACAATCGTGTGTCGTTTTCGCATGTGTACATCATATACGTCGTGTACCTACTTAAACCACATAAACTCTTAGAAACAGTGATAATTGTGATAAAGAGGCTAAGTCTCTCCGTCACCACGACCACAACACGATGACAACGACGACGACGAGGTTTCATTTGACCAGTGACTGCTAGGACATCGCAAACAAACTTCGTTTCTCTTTTGCATTGTGTACTTATTGCCTCTTTAAACATCAAAGTGCACGAGTGTTGAAGTAAAGGTGCTCTTCGGCAGTGGGTAAGAAGAAGTTCAAGAAAAAGAGTGGGAGAAGAACAAGAATAGTAGAACAGAGGGAGAGAGAGCGAGCCCATTCGTCGTCGCTCGTCGCCCCCGCCGAGAAGAAGAGAGAAAGACACAACACATCATATGTATACACAACATAAAGCGCTGCCCCGATGCTCCGAAGCTGGTGCACAACAGACAAACCAAGTGTGCAACACCTAGGTAATATTTGCTCCGAAGTGGTTACTGGTGTTGTCAATTAACCAAGTTTACAACATATTATTCTTTAGACAAAGCTCATGTGTCAATTCTTTGTGCTTGAAAAAACATTGGCCTAATCGTGCTCCGTTGTGTACAAGAAATTACATTATCAGTGCAAGTATTGTGCAAGTGTATTGTCACCCAGTGTCGGTCTATATGCATTTACATCTGTATATACGCGGGTAATAGTCGTCCTTTTTCTCTCTTTTCTGCTGTTCTTATCATCCTTTTCTTTCGCGAGCACACACCTGAGGAATGTGACTCAAGTTGGCAACGCGTCGTTGCCCTTTCACCTAAATACACTTAGGTACTCACACTTGCTGTGCAACCATGTACCTGAGATCCTGTGTTAGCTTCTTCACCGGGTGGCCTATGTGAGTTCACTGGAAACCAGCAAATATATATATATATGCATATCTATGAATACAAAAACCGTGAAAAGTGTTAAATCAAGAAATAAATAAGTATCGGAGCAAGCAACATAATTCGCCTTAATCGTTATCAGTTTTGTGAGAGACAAAGTTGCTGCTGTGCAGTTAAGTTTGAAGAAAGAAAAAAGAAAATTTCAAACATTCAATGTTAATTTAATACACTTGAAGTACAAACATAACATCATAGAATTTATAATAAATTATTTGGTCGTGTTGGCTTGGCACGCCGAAGAGAAGCCTAGTATATATTATAGGTAGTACCTGTAAGTTACATGTATACTGGTGAGTTGCTGACTCCTCTTGGTCTCTGTGTCTCGCTCAGTCGTGCGGAGGTCAAGGCGCCCGTATAGGTAACGTATATACAATATACATGTATTGTGCAGTCTCTTTCTACTGCTGCTCTACAGACTCTCGCACGCGGCTGCTAAGATTTTACGATTTAGTATATACCAACACCTATAATACCTAATATAGGTATCCGTATCACTATAATTGTAGCACACAACGACGCGATCACAATATACGTATATACATACACGTGCACGCGCGACAGAACGGAGCACGGAGTTATACATAGGTATATACGTGCAGCATATAGGTTGTACATGCAAACAGCATCAGAGTGGAGTCGGAGCAGCGGCGACGGCGCATTTTATTCTCGCCTGCGGCGATCTGCAACACCTGGTGCAAAATGAGACGGGCGAACGCATCCACTGGGGCACCGCAGTAGTCGGTATCGAGTCATCGTCGTCCTAAACTCGTGCTTCGAAAACAGCATACGCGTGCGTGATACAAGGCCAATTTCAGTGAACTGATAACAAAAAAAAAACAACGACAATCAAACCAAAAAGAAGGAAGATACTTAATATTTATATAATACCCGAGTACATGAGGCGCGGACGTTGTGGTTCAGTTTCAGTGGAAGAACAAATATCGCGTGAGACCGCCGCGTGACCGCATGTGTCGCGGCACGGAGAACAGTACAATAGTATCAATCGGTGATCGGTTGTTTTGCTGTCAAGTTGTTGCCGTTTCTAAGAATTTGGTGCAGCATCAGCCAGTTCGATGTGCATCGCGACTAAATCGTCTTCAGCAGTGGTCGAGAGTAGCAGCGGAGCGTAGCCTCAGAGGAGGAGCTGTTCAGAAACAGCAGCAAAGGGTGAAGTTGTTGTTGTTGTCGTCAACGGCGACAGCGGCGGAGGAGCAGACCGCTTCTTCCGTCCACGAGGAAGCGTCAAAGGGCGAACGCTGGGCCAGGCAGGCGCCGGCAGCTCCCGCGACTCCGGAAGCCTAGCGAAGAAGATGGCCTTCAATGAGGTGAGTCTGTCTTTTCATTGCCTATGCACACGCGTTTGACATTGAACCTGACATTTCGTCCCTTGTACAGTAAAGTAAAGCATTTAAACCACAGCAGATCGAAGAAGTTTTTTTTTAAAGAAGGTACTTTTGGCTTTTGTATGAGTTCGCACGTGTTATACGATACTTTTATTATTTGCTTCTCGTGTTTGTTCGACCAGTAATCGAAGTGTAGGAGTGACGCAAGAGATGGATTTATGAAAAAGAAACAAAAAGAAAAACTAGAACACTCGCATTGTTTTTTTTTTTTTTTTCTCTCTTGCCGAAATGTTCAACGTTCTCTCTCTCTCTCTGAATGTTTGAGGTATACTTATTTTTGTAGAGAGTATAGAAATCAAAGTCGGTTGGATCGCGCTCTGGTATTTTTCGTAGCAACGTATATATGTATATGCTTGTATAAAATTACGACTCGAGATCACTAATAAACTCATACAAGTATACGAGTAGAATCAGATCACGAGATTTGTGTGTTGTAAGTTTAATTAAAATTATTTTACAAAGTGAAAATAGTTGATCAAGGAAAAAGTATTATTTTTGTTAAAATACACCTTTAAACTTTAACATAAAAAAACATAAAGTGAAACATTTATTTAGTTTATATAAAAGTTCGCGACAAGCCTGATGCTTCGCTCACCCTTCCAAACTCAACCTTATCAGAGTAATTCGTCGGTCGAGCTCTAAGTGTATTTTAAAACGTATCAATCACTCGTTTTCATGCTGACACTAATGACACTATGAACCGTGAAAAATTGAACTCAATTTTATCCAAGCTCACGCCATCAGAAAAAAAAAAAAATTGTTCGTGTTAATTTTCGACTGCGTTATAAACGCATACTTATCAATGCTCATTGTTGTACTTGCACGCCAGAAATGTAAAACAAACAACGAAAAAAAAAAACTCAACTTTTGAAGCGTTGCATGAAAACTGTAAGGGTGCCTCCTGTATGTACATGGGAAACCTGCAGTCTGGAGAATGCCAGTCAAAGCTTCGGCGGGCGATTCAATTCAAATTGATAGAGATCAATATATTTTTTTTTTTTCTTGCATTCCGTACAACAGACACCTTGTTTTCAATGAAACTAGACTCTGAAGTCGTATTTTGATTTTAGAAACTGGTTTTAGTAAAAAGTTAAAAAAATTTCGAGTCAGTATAACAAACGACTAGTCGGTAAACAGGGAAATTGCAGTAACAGACTGCCAGCAAAAACTAGTCATTTGTTATACTTACTCGAAATTTTTTACCAAAATCAATTTCTGACATTAAAATGCGACTTCAGAGTTTAGTTTCATTGAAAACAAGGTGTCTATTGTACGGAATGCAAGAAAAAAAAAAAATATTGATCTCTATCAATTTGAACTGAATCGCCCGCCGAAGCTTTGACTGGCATTCTCCAGACTGCAGGTTTCCCAGGTGAAACAACAGCTCAAAAATTTATCATTTCAAGCTCCATGTACTTACAGCACAGGTTTGTATTACCAACTCTCCCGATGGAGAGGAGCAAATGGGGGAAGAAGCAAGTGTGGTGCACCAAAACCCCCCTTTTTTTATAATTTCTGCGCCCCTTCTATTATCAGCGTAAACATATACACACGCTCCCTGGAGTCTCGCCCACGTGTGTTTGTGCATCGTCGCGAGCTAAGCTCCCCCGCATTTGAAATTCCCTCCGAGGTAAAAAGAGGATTGCCATGAGAGGCAGTGGCACAGTTTGCATGCACGCGAAAAAAAAAAAAAATAGAAGGAAGAAGCCATACTTTTGAATCTTTGGAAAAAGGGCACGCGTATGGTGTTCCACACAGTTTTGGTCCACACTCGTGCTAGTTGTCATTTACAGTCACCAGTGATAGCTTGTACATCGTCGCAACTATTATCATAATCATTGCGTGGGAGAGAAAAAAAATAATGGACTAAGCGAAGAAGAAAGGAACAAAGAGAGTCAAGCGCGTCATACGCGTATATGTATATAGAACAGATGGGACGTGCTGTGGGGGAGGGGTTGAGAAGAATCGTGACCCCTAAACGCGGAAGCGAAAAGAAAAGAGCAGAGAAAGAAACGTGGACGGTGGTGGAGCTAACCTGACCCCGAGCCTGAAGTGCCATCATTAAGTAGTACCACCAGCTGGCAAACTGTCAATATCGCCCTCTCATCCCCTCCACCCTCCTCCTTCTGCTGGCATCTTTTTTTCGTCTTGTTGTGTTTTGCACCCCTGCGTTAGGTGTATAGGACGATGCTTGGCCGATTTTTTTGTCGTCGAGAACGTCGTGCCTAATATTTAAGGGGCCTATTTTCATTTTTGGAGATTCGCCCGAGTTCCGTGGCTACGGTTTTTTGAAAAAATTACGAGCCTGCACTGCTGCGCTATTCGTTTATTTATTTATTTACACGGGGCTATATTTTTTTCAGTGAAATACATAGGAATGAACCTGTATACAATAAGGTGAGCTTGAGGTTTTTTTTTTTTTTTTTTTAATCATTAATTTTGTTATTATTCTTATTTATATTTTATGCGTCAACTGATAATTTTCAATTTTAGAAGTAGATTTTTTTCAGAACATATTATGCATGATAATAATAATAATGTAACTCTTCCAAAACTTATACTTTGTTACTGGATGACCTAAAAAATTTCTACATTCAGCACAGTGAAAATTACCATATTAGAAGTGAAAAAAGCACCAGCATTCAACATTACTGCTTTTGACGGTACAAATTTCCCAGACGACGGATGAGTGCAAAATTCCTCTAAAACAGTGTGATTGTTTATTTTTTATTTTTATGAGTTCAAAGGTGCAATTACAACAGAAATACGAGGCAACAAAGAGAAAAATGCGTGCGAGTCTTTTATAAAAGTAGCCCCTCGCACTTGAAAAGAAGAATTTATGGGTGGTAGTATTAATATATGTATGAGCCACGTGGGCCTAAGTAAAATGGCCCTATTTATTATATTGATGTACGCATATGTATTACTCCACGTGTATGTGTACGTATGTTAGTGGAAAAGCTCGATTATTGTTGTAAAAAAGAAAAATATACAAAGTACCATTGTAACGTAGTGACAATTTTCTTGCGCTTGCCGTCTGATTATATTTAAATGCGCTTTGAAAGTTTTCCACTTCTCTATATATATAGTTGTTTACT